TAAGATAGGAAAAGAATGAGTAATACCCTTAAAAATAAACAATGATTAGAAAGCAATAAAAATGGTCAAACAGGAACAAAAATGATAAACTAAATGTTGGTGAGGATATGGTCAAATAGGCATTTCCATACTCAAAGTTAGACATGTAATTTGGTACAAGTTAACAATAAAGAACTAGAGACCTTAAAATGGTCCATAATCAGCCAGGTGCAGTGGTTCATGCTGGTAATCCTAGCCCCAGGATTGCTTGAGCCCCAAGCCAATGCCCCAGGATTGCTTGAGGCCAGGAGTTTGAGACTAGCCTGGGCAACACAGCAAGACCCCATCTCTATAAAAAATTTAAAACAGTAACTGGGCAAGCACATGAAGTCTCAGCCACTCAGGAGGATGAGGTGGGAATGTTGCTGGAGCCCAGAAATTCGAGGTTACAGTGAGCTATGACCCCAGCCACTGCACTCTAGACCAGGTGCTGGAATAAGACCCTCTTAAGAAAACATAGTAAATAAAAGAAAACTCTCTATGATCCAGTAATGCTACTTTATAAAAATATGTTCTAAGGAAATAATTACAGATATGAAAATATTTACATCTGAATATGATTATAATACTGTAATAATAGTCAAACTTGGAATCAACAAAAAATATTGTATCATAATATATCCATAATTCAAAAATTACTTACTGTTAAAACTATATTTTTGAAAGCTTGATGGTCATGAGAAATTGTTCACAATAAATGAGCAAATGAAAAGGACACAAAACAATAAAAAAATCTCAATTTTTTATAAACACATATTGGTATGTACTCTGGGAAAGGTGATCATGGTGATCTTTGTTTTCTTTGAGCTTGTCTCTGTTTTCTAGGATGTCTACAGTGAGCATATATTATTCGTAAACAGAATACACCAAACTGTATTCAAAATTTTATAACTTTTTACTTGGAAAGAAACCCAGATTGATATGACCTTGTTGTGACTTTGAGACTAGTTACATTGATCCATTAATTCCTTTAAGAAAGGGATTATTATTTAATTACATTTCTTTAACCCACATGAGCTGAGTGGTGTTATTATGGCTGTTTACCAGAATGTGACTATTATGTCATTATGTAATCCAAGACCTAGATGAGAGGCCACCTGGCGTGTGAAAGGGTAGTAGACCAGGAATCTAGGGGCTCTTGATCTTGAGCAAAGCTTTTAGTAGCCTCCTGGGCCTCGGTTTCCTCCTATGTCAAACAGATAATTAACATCCATGCTACCACTTTCACAGAGTTGTTCCAGAAATAAAATGAGATAATCCAGGCAGGAGTTTATGAAATGTAGGCTATTATGAAGGCAGTGCTCATCATTTAAAGAATGAGTTAGTGCCTGCCTAGAATTGATAGTTGCTATATATGATCTTTCTAAATCTACACTCCCTTGGATGAAGAAGAAAAAAAAATCCTCCCACTCTTCCCTCAGCCTCTTTTCTTACTGAATTCATAAGTGCACAGCCCTGTAGGGAGGGTACAGACTGGTCAACCACATCCTGTGTCCACCTTCACCAATCTTCTAGGGGAAAATGGCTGGATTCTTCCCTCTCTAAAAGGAGAGCCCTCAAATGTTCCCATGGGACCAGGGCAGAGGACAAATCCTGCACCACCTCTGCACAAACCCACGGGGTGGCTGCTTGGCAAGTCTGTGAAGTCCAGATGTCTGATGTGGCTTAGGGTAACAAGGCTGTTTAGATGATACATGGCTCCTTAACAAACCCCCATGATGCTTCTTTTGTGAGGATAGTTGTCCCTTCCAACTCATAGTACTACAGATTCTTGCTTCATGTAGTTATGGGGACAGGAAAATTCACAACTCCTCTATGTCCAACAGCCCCTATTCCCATCAGACTTGCTGCAAGGACCAGAGGTTCCTTGGTCACCCCAAGTAAAGGGTGAGTGTTTTAAATGACCCAGAAAGCTTATCTGGGAACTTTCAGATTTCCCAGGCAGCACCTCAGGTGTAGAACTTAGTCATAATCTCTGAGGGTAGGAACCAGGTAGCAGCTGCCTGGTTGCCAAGTGCAACCAAGATTGAGAAGCACTGGCCCAGACGCTTAATAAAGTTCTGGGCATCTCCCCTGTACTAACTGCAAACCACTTCCCCTGGTAAGGGCTCCTCCACATTCTGCATCTTCCTAAGGGTTCCTTGTGTACACTCAACCCTGAAGCATCCTTTTCCCTTTAGCTCCTCTGCTGGCTGGCTCCATCTCCCAGTTTGCCAATTCCAAATCCCCAAGAAGGGTCTCATCCTTAGCTCAACTCACCTTATTCCAGCCAACCTACCTGGGCCAGGGGATGCTGCCTGACATAGAGACTGACTGCTCTGAGGGAGGAGCTGAGTCTTTCTTGATCTAATAATTTGTGGAAAGGGCAGAAGTTATGTAATGGATAACACAGCTATCCTGGTCTGCCCTGGGGCTGTTGCCTGTGAAGATGGAGTTTGGTGGGCACAGTTTCCTTAACAGGGACTGTGAGATACTTTAGCATACCTGCTTCAATAACAAATCATAATATAGAAATCAAACATATTTAGAGGATTCATAAAAAATTAAGGGTTGGGGTTTATAGAACATGATATAAGAGTCTTTTTAAGTCTACATAGGGTAATAAAACGGATGGCCCACTCAACTACATTTAGAAAGTATGTCTAATTTTACACATCCTTTTCCTTAGAAACTACAATTGAATTTAGCTTTGAGAGATGATGGTATTCATTATTATCTTAGCCAGAGGGGTTTTTTTTTAGCTTTTGTAAAAAACTTTTAAGTTGAAGTATAATTTACATACATAAAAGTACACATATGTGCGTATCTCAATGAAGTTTTGCAAAATGAACACTCTTGTAACCAGACCCCGGATGAAGAAACCAAAGATTGTCATTACCCCAAAGACATCCCTGTGCTCTCTTCCGACTACTACCTGCCCTCAAGAGCCACCACTATCCTGACTTCTACCATGATAGATTTGTTTTTGTACTTTATGTAAGTGCAATAATATAGGGGGTGCTTTATTGTCTCCTGGCTTCTTCCTTTTGATTATCCATCCATATTTTTGCCAGAGGTTTTAGTCCTTGAAATCTAGTTCAGCCAACATTATTCAGCCAGGAACTGTGCTCAGGGCTGGGGACACAAAACCAAATAAGGGTGTAAGGAACATGCGATCCAATAATCTGGTAATGACGGGAATTTAATGTAAGGTGAATTCGTCTTTGTTCAACAAATATTTATTCAGTGTCCACTATGGGACAGGGACGATCACAGGTGCTAGGGACAAGCAATGAACAAGCAGACGAACAACTCTAGCAGAAATCCTCTCTCTTCTTTCTGTGACAAGCATGGGCAAGTTCTTTCCGCTGATATCCACTTCCCACTCTGTCTCGCATCTGGGTTCACCTGAGGGCAGCTTTCTTATGGCGATTTGAAATGTGTCATTATGAAGTTGCTGGTCCAGCCAAGGGACAGTTTGCAAACCAGCGAGTGTGGGAGGTTTTTCTCGGTACCTCTTGCTGCCTTGTTTCATTCTCTCCACCCCGATGCTGCTTACACAGAGTGAAAGGAAAGTCAGAGCCTTTGGATGTTAGCTTACCTTGGGGTCAAGCTGAACAATCTTCCTGTTTTCCAGAACCACAAAATGAGACCAGACAGTTGCCAAAGCTGTGATGGAAATCATAAACCTCTGAATTTGTTTTAATACCGGCTTTAACGTACATCACGATTCATTAGTGTTGGCTTTCCAGGGCCTAGTGAATTACTGGAGTATCAGGCCATGATGTTAGAGGCAGGAAAGATTAGAAAGGGACTCCAGTGCAACTCCAGGACTGTGCTGGAGCCGTGGAAGAAGCACAAGTGCTCATCTTGTTAGGTCAGTTTGTTTGTTCCCACATTTTTATGGGTATTTTCAAGCATGTGTAAAAGTAGAGACAATAGTAAAACTCACTCCCATTTACCCATGTAAACATTTAAAAATCACCAACTCATGCCAATTCATCTCTAAGCCCTTACTGCCCCCCTCCCTTGATTATCTGAAGCAATCCCAGATGTCAGGTAAATTACTTATAAATGTTCAGAAAGTGAGATTACGTGGTTTTAACTCCCTTAGTTAACGGGTTCAGAGGTGAAGTCACTAAGCTGGTTAGTGACCTTATTTTGAATCCCTAGACTTCAAAAGTAAAAGTCACAAGATTTGCCAACAGGCAGTATTATTATAATATTATATAATATATTATTGTACTATTTGGCCTGAAAGTACTTCTTTCAAGCCTCTCATTCAGTTCTCCAAGGAGTTCAGTAGGGTGTGGGACAGCTGATTAATGTCCCTTTTCATCAGTAATTTTGAAACCAAACCCCTGTGGATTTTGAAATTGCAAATAAATTTGTCCAAGTGAAAGTAGTTTTTTTTTTTCAACTATTTAGCAAGAAAATGGGTCTAAGACTCTTGCCAACCTTCCTTGTTTCTCATCTTCAGTTCATCCCATTTTCAAAGAAGGACATTAGTTGATATTCAATGACCAGTTTCAGTGGCCTGTCTGCTATGAGATAGCACAACACAACCAGCTGAATTTTTCTAGGTTTCCCAGGCTTAAAACCCCAAGGCACGTCACTTGGTCTGGTCAGAATACTTAGAGGTTCCTCTGGTAAATAGAAAAGATTGTTCATGTCGTTGTCTTGAAAGTGTGCCCATTATTGACTTGATTGCTGTAGCTATATACCCTGTTCTGATTGTACCTCAGAATTACCCCAGGACACCTGAGAGCAAGGGGCACAAGACACCTCTTCGATGAGCATTTGACAGGAGAAGATTGGGAGTAAAAAAAGGTGCACAGATCATCTGAGTAGATAAACCATAGAAGACAGACATCCAGATATTTTCCTCTATCCAACTGCCACTGGCTTTTCTGAAGGATAAAAGCAGCAAAGATTGACAATTGTCAGTTTAACTATTTTTATGGTGTACTTTTTCTGGGCAGGTTATTCACATCGAACTCCTTTGATGTGATCAGTGATGATGCTTTTATTGGGCTTCCACATCTAGAATATTTGTAAGTAAAAACAAAAACAAAAACAAAAAAACCTTTTTTGTTAACACAAAATTATTCAGCACATTCAGAACAAGTGCTCTCAAGTTTCTACAACTGCCTGACCAAAAATATTATAACCTATTTCAGATTCATAGAAAACAACAATATCAAGTCCATTTCAAGACACACTTTCCGGGGACTCAAGTCATTAATTCATCTGTAAGTATGAAAGTTTCTATTACTTTTTAAGCTTGCTGATGGACAGTGCAGTTTGATCACCTATGGTGAAAGCACTCACTTTATAAGTGTTCCTGAAAATTGAAAAAACCTGAATGATTCCTCTCCATGCATACTTGCCATCTCTCCCTGTTGTCTGTCAGCGTGTATTCAGGAAATGGATAACTATTAATATTTTTAGCCTAAACCAACCATAATTAGAAAAGAAATCTAATGCAAGGAAACCATGTGACTGAAATAATGTTTTTACGATCTAATCATTACTTGCTTTATGAATAATTATGGGTTGGCATACTTTAATTTAATATTAGCTATTTTGTTCTTTTCCTGTGTAAGTCCTGACTTTATATACATTTGCACATAGTATAGCCACAGGCAATGCCTACATAATAGCTGAACAACTTGTGTGTGTGTAAGTGAAATATTTAATTATTTAATGGGTGATTAGCCCTACAACAGGTGTTCATAAGAGGGCAATTTTGTCTCCCAGGGAACGTTTGGCAATATCTAGAGATATGTTTGGTTGTCACAACTGGGAGGAATGTATCTGGCCTCCAGTGGGCAGAGGACAGGGATAGTATCCCCCAAACCTCCTACAGTGCACAGGACAGCCCCTCACAGTGGAGAATTATTCAGCCCAAAATGGCATCATGGGGAGGTTGAGAAACCCTGAACATCATGAACCAAGTTGTTTCCTCCAGCTTCCCCCACCTCCTACTCTCTCCCTCTCTCTCTCATATACATATACACACAGACTTATTTTCAATGAAACTAGAAGAGTGTGGGAAGAAAGGCATTAACATTTATTAAGTGCTCAAGTGCCTACTATGTGTCAGATAAAAATGCATGAGATCCATGTGTCACAGTCATTCTGCGTAATCTGCTCCCTCATCGCACCCCATTCCCAGTTCTCTTCTAGGGCCTAGGATGCAGCCTGGAGCAAAGCAGACTAAATCCCTGCCCTTCAAGCCACTTTCCAGTGGGTCACATGGTCTTTATGCCACCTCCACCAGGCCCCATGCTCTCCTGCTGTTTAGTTTGCAGCAAGGGGAAGATGATGGCCAGATTTATTTTATAAAATCATAGCTTTCAAGGCTTCTGTATGGAGTCATTATAATAAGGATGATGTTTGCAATGCTACTCTTCATGTCAACCACATAACATGATAGAAAAATGGCAGAGAGAGTGGGATGAAATTTTTATCACAGAGCCTAACATAGTGAAAGAAACAAATATACATAAAGAAAAATAGAAGTTCATGATCTCAATTTGACATCTGCTGGATTCACATTTGTCCCATTCAACATGTCCTCTGTCCAATGCTCTGCATCACAAAGGCTGCACCAAAGATGTGGGACCCAGGTATCCTCTGTAGGAGCCTGAAAACAAGCTTCTCCATGCCAGTTCTCTTGGGTGTGTCTACTCTGCAGCCTAAGAGCCTGGGGTCCACTCAGACTCCCTGGACAGAACAGGAGAAAATATCTCTATATCTCACCCAAAAGGAAGGAACAGAGAGAAGGAGGGAGAGAGGGAAGGAAAGAAAGAAGAAAGGAAGGAGGGATGGAGTGAAGGAAGAAGGGAGGGAAAGGAAGAGAGAGGGAAGGATGGGAGGAGGGAGGGAGGAAGGAGAGAGAAAAAGAGGAAGGAAGGGGGGGGTGGAAAAGGAGGGAAGGATAAGAGCAAAAGAGGAAGGAAAAAAAATCTGTACATAACGCTGTAGTAGAGAACACCCATTTTGTTTGACTAGAGTGTATGATGTCCAGCAAATGAAATGGGAATTTAAATTTGAGTCGTACTGAGGCCCTTTCTTTAGCAGGGTAGAGACTGTAAGAAAGGGAGACTGGTACAGCATGTGCTTGGTATCTAGAGACTTTTAGGCTCAAGAGAACACCAGGGGCAGCCTTCAGGGAGAGGCCTGAGTCCTACAGACAGCGAAAGGGAAGTTCCACCCTTCTGAGCTGGTGCTGGAGGTGGGCAGGAGGAGTCACGAAGGAACAGAGGGTTAATGCTGACGGAATGAATGTGACCCTCAGGTCTCCCGCATCTAACACTTACTAGGTTGACTCATATGGCAGTTGCCAATATTAGACTGTTTTTGATCTACAAAAATGGCAATGCCATATGGTTCATCCTAAATAGTTTCTAGAATGTGACACATACTTTACAAGTAGTAGGACCCACAAAGATGGTAAGAGCTAGTCCTACCTCAGAAGAGCTCGGTCTAGCAAGAGAAATGGGCAAACAAATAGATTCTCTCTGAGTGTCTGTCTTTTTCCTTTCTAATAATGCTGTTCTTCAAAGTGTAATTCCGTCCTTCTTTCCCTTCATCCTTTCAAGGAGAGGTGGGGATAAGGAGGATTTGAAACACTAATGTTCCTCTGTTTGCTCAGTAGGTCAAGTTCATTTTCCATTATTTACTGCTTATAAATAAATCTGACATTGGGTGGCACCTGTGGCTCAAGGCGTAGGGTGCCCGGCCCCATATACCAGAGGTGGTGGGTTCAAACCCAACTCCGGCCAAAAACTGCAAATAATAATAATAATAATAAATCTGGCATTTGTGTGAGCCACTAGTTTCCTTTGTCAGATTTTAGGCTTCAAAATGCCCTTTTCTTTGCCTCGGTCCAGTTCTTCCCAATTCAAGGCGAACATTTGAGAGGTGAGAAATTGTCACCTCACCCTCTAACCTGCATGTGCTACAGGAAGCGTTTGCAAAGCTTCTTCGTGTTCTTCACCTCACTACAGCCTCCTGACTACAATATGAAAGAGACAGGGCAGTAGCAGTGCTTCACTGAAGAGTGGGAGCATGGAGGCACCCCTGAGGCTGAGCTGCTCCCTAGTTGAAAGCAGCTAAGCCAGGAGTTTCCTTGGGTCTTTGGTCTAGTGCAGTTTCCACCATGTCAGAGCAGGACCGGAAAGCTTTCACTGAGCTGGCTGGATCCTTCCATGATACACGATTAGAAGAGCAGATATGATTAGAGAAGAAAAAGAAGGTCCTGAAGACAGTAGCCCTACCCTTGCTCTTAGTCTCCAAACACAGACAGCTGGGGTTAGCCGTATGGGGTGGGACAGTTAAGTTCACTAATTGAACCTCATTGCTGAACATCACCACAGTCACCTTCCAAGTGCTCCCTTGGGAAGATATGCACCAACGCCAGGGCCTAGTCCAGCCTTCAGAGCAGTTTTAGAACTATCATTGTACAAGACACAAAAACATGCAACAGCAGTAAAGAATGCCACTCAGCGAGATACCTCCTCACACCAACGCAAACACGGTTGCAAGAGACTGACTCCCAGGGTTATGAAACCTTCCGGAGTTGTGTGTACAGTGCTGCCAACATAAGTGAATGATGGCAAGTTCACAAACTTAGTTGTCAGACCTCGTACGATGACAGCTCTGTTGGTCACTTTAGAAAAAGAGTCCTAAAATTGTTTTGAAAGGTGGACTAGGCACTGGCATCATTACACAGCTTCCAAAGGGGAGGGCTTCAAAGGTGACTGCAGTGATTTTGAGCAGTGAGGTAGGAAGCAGTTTTTGTAGGATGAGTTCATGAACTTAACTGTCAGACCTGGTATGCTTTTTTTTTTTTTTGAGACAGAGTCTCAGTCACCATGCATATATGGAATGCCATGGCATTATAGCTCAGAATAACCTCAAACTTATGGGCTCAAGTGATCCTCTTGCCTCAGCCTCCTGAGTAGCTGGGTCAACAGGCACCTGCCACAACGCTTGGCTGGTTGTTTTTCTGTTTTTAGTAAAGACAGTGTCTCACTCTTGAGCAGGCTGGTCTCAAACTCCTGAGCTCAAGCAATCCACCCTCCTCAGCCTCCCAGAATGAGAGAGTTACAGGCTTGAGCCACTGTGCCCGGCCTCCTTGTATATTTTTCTATTCAACTGGTTCCCACTCTGGCCTAACTTTAAAAGTGTTCCGAGGGGCCCGCCAAATAAATTCAGTTTATTCCAAAGAAGCAATGAACTTGTCCCATCTTATTATGCATGTATTTTAGTAGATTTCTAAAGAGACATTTTTAGACAACTTTGATCCCCCTCCCCTGCAAATTCACCCTTAGAGAAGGGGAAGTTCCTTAGAGGTAAGTCCTTACAAAGCCTATCAAATCCCCAAATCCTCTCCTCTCAATCACTTCATTTTGAATCTCTGTCCTAATGTTATGTATGTTTAACTCTAATGTTTGAAGAGTTGGTTTATTGCAGCAGGGTTTAAATTTTTCTGATAAGCATGTCTTATTTTTTTATAAGAGAAAGCAATGAATACAAAATTAGTTCATAGCCAATGATGATAAAATGGCCAACATTCTGTACTGACCTCTAGTAATAGCCATGAGCTTTTAAGTAACGATTCCCTTTGGTGTCACAGTGGCTAAGGCCCAGGGAAGCCAGAGATTTGTGTATGCATGCGTGAAAATATTGCAGGAAAACTGTCATCAGTCTATACATGTTATAGTCTACCTACTGGTTGCTCAGCCCTGCATTGATAGGGACTTGTCACAGTCCTCAAACTCAGGATGCCAGTATGTCAGGCAGAAAGCTTTCATTTTAGCCTTCACATGGGCATGTATGTTACGAGGTAGTGTGATCCAGTGACTGAGAGAGTGATCTCTGCCAGCACACTGCCTGAGGTCAAAGCCTGGCTTTGCCCTTTAACATCTGTGGGAGCTTGGGCAGATGATTCAGCTTCACTACACCTCAGATTGCTCATGTGTAAATGGGTTTATAGTAATAACCTCTTAAGTTGGGGGTGGAGGATCACAAGGTCTTTAAAATCAGCCAGCCCCTCAGATTGTTTTGAGATTAAATGAATTAATACATGCAAAGTGCTTGGAGCACAGCCTGGTATATAGTAAGCACCAAGGTCAGGAATAAACGAAACTCGCTGCCTACCCCTCTGCTAGTGCTGGATTGGGTACCCAGAACTGCGGTGCATCTCCCCTTTGTACTCGGCACATAAAATCAAATAACCGCA